TTATTGTGACTCTGCTTTGGCAGGATTAAGATTTGTTGTATTTTTTTTGGCTCAAAATGATCTCTGTTAGCTTTAAACTACTACTTGGCTGTAACACGGTTACCGTGAATTAAAAAGTGTGTTCTTCTTCAGATATTTAAGATTAATTTTATTTTTATTTTCAGAGAATATTAAAATATTCTACCGTTATATGAAGCAGTGAATCACGAAGACACACTCACGTCTCTCTGTCTTGTCTTCATGCTCTCACGTCTGTCTTTCTTCGTCTCTGTCAGTGTCTCCGTAGCCACTCCTCACTCAGTTTTTCAAGTTTGGTTTGTGTGCACTCAGGCTTAATGCTAATATTTAAAAAAAACATCAGAGGCTGAAATTCTTTCCTCGTGTTCATCTGTGGTATGAAAGTTGAAAATCCTGAATAAGACTCTGCTTTGGTTGGTTGTTTGTTTGTTTCAGACTGTAATTATAACATTCAAATATTCATTTTTTATATATATCTAAAACATTCAACATATACTATTACATTATACCGCCATCTGCAAGGGGGCAAAGGTAGTGCGTGGGCTCCCTCTGGTGGTGCCCCGGATAACCGTGGCTCACATTATGATGGACCAGGTCGTTATTTTGCTCATCAGGAAACTTAATGACCGCGCAATGTCCACTAGAGGGCACTGTTACACAAAGGGAAAACTAGTAAAGCGGTGACTAAAGTATTCATTGTTGTTGATCAGTAACTGGAACCTGAATGTGTTTATTAAGTTCAGAATTTGTACAAATATCAGATGTTTTAGAAGAAACTCCATAAACACAATTTAATGAAAATTATTGAATAGTACCTGGTGATATTTTTGATCTTGCTTTTTTAGAATAAACAAATCCATTATTATTATTGTAAGATTTGTCTAATCTGAACTGAAGATGTCCACTGATCCAGTCTGTCATGGTTCTGACAGGGAAAGACAGAACAGTCCTGCTGTCTCGTATACAGAGGAGGTCATTTTTCCAGGATTACACAGACTGATCCCAGACCTGTGCCTGTCTGACTGTAACAGAGTCATGAGGTGGGGTCTCTGTTGGTTTTCGTTTTCTTTTCCCATTTTCTCTAAACTCCCTCGTTTTTTATCCCAGCCTGCGGCTCTGTCTCTCAAATCCTTCGTGGAATCTCAGACCTGCGTGTGAACCAGACCCAGTCTGACTGACAGGGCTTCAAACTGAGACTGATGAGGTCTGATGGTAAGCCTCCTCCTGGAGCTCTTAGATGATGAGACATCAGGAAAACTGCAGGACAAACAGCCTTACCAGAAACAAGTGAAAACTAGTATCAACTATAAGCAAAAAAAAAAACAACTCAGAAAACCTGTTGCTGTCCTCATCCAAAATACTGACATTTAAACTTCTTTCTATGATACCATTTTTTATTCCATCACCGCTCAGCAGCAGCAGCTTCACTGTCAGCTCCCAGCATGCCTCTCTGTAGCCTCCGTCAGCCACGGGGACACGTGTGGTTTTTACTGCAGTTCAGTTTGTCGTCATTAGTGGTTTGAAAATGTCTCTGCAGCTTAAACAGCGATGACATCATCCTGTCTCTGAGCTTCTGTTCTCCCCTCTCATCCCAGCGTGTGTGTGTGTATGGTGTGATGATGATGATGATGATAATCATCATCATCATCATCAAGGAGAAAATAAGAACCTGGGAGTTTGGCAGAAAAAAAACTACCGTAAGTTTGTGTGTGTGTGTTTTGTTCCAGGCTACGTGCTGTCAACAGGATTAGTGTTTTGTTCTACAGTCACAACAGCAGGGAGTCATTCCCAGAACAAACAGTGTGTGTGTGTGTGTGTGTGTTTGACCCTCCATTGTTCAGAGTTTGCTGACTCTGTGCATCACGGTGTTTGTTACTTTTTTTTTTTTTTTCCCGGACACAGACTGAACAGAGATGCTGAGCCTGACACTGGATGGATTTATGTAGTTGAATGACTGACACACACACACACACACACACACACACATACAGACTAACAGCTACGACAAATAACTTTTGTTCATTTGCAGTTGCATTTGAGTAAAAACACATTCTTTGGGTTGAAGGTGAATAACAAAAATACAAAATCGACAAGATGTCGATTATCTTTAGGCAATGATTATGAATTGAAATAAATTAAAAAAGAGAGAAAAAAAAAACATATTTCCCTCCCCTTAGTGTGTGTGTGTGTGTGTTACACACACACACACACACATACACACACACACACACACATACACACACACACACACACATACACACACACACACACACACTATATACAGTCAGTAAAGTCAAACTAGCCTGCTAATTAAACAGCTAAATGGCAGCTGCAGCTGAGGATTGTGGGGAGTGTTGTTTTTATTAGTACTGATGACAGACCAAGACCAGAACTTTGAAACAGTTCTAAACACAGAGACGGGTGGGAGTGGCTGAGACCTCGGTGAGGGTGGGTCAGAAAACCTGCTCATTAGAACACCTCCCAGAGCATCATGGGAGCAGACGGGGAAAGACGATAAAAAAGTATAAAACGTAACTTCAGGTGGATGGATGGATGGATGGATGGATGGATGGATGGATGGATGGAAGATTTAAACTGTATTTGTCTTCTTCTTCTTCAGTTTCAGTGTCGGACAAAAAGCTGTGACATAATTACAGTAGAGTGAGAAGTGGTTTGTTGTTCGTGTTTTTTGGTCACGGTCTCAGCAGGCAGTCTCTTTATGGAGCCACCCACCCCACCTCCCAGCACTGCCTTACAATGCATGAT